CTTATTGTACTTTGGATTCAAAAATAGAGTTTTAACCTCTTACTCAATTGATATCACAGTTTGACAATAGTGCTTATACGAAAATCACTTATTTTTAAGCTAAAACGAAAATGCTGAAAAATAGAGAAGACAAATATTTGGTGAGGCAGTTCCCCCATCATCCTCGCTTCGGGGTACGTCTGCCCTCAATTCTAAAATTAGAATTGAGATAGATTTAATAGATATCACCTGTTGAATGTAACAGTTTATACAAAGATTGAACAACAAATATACAACAGAATTCTCAAGATGTTGAATGTTGCTTTCACTCCTTGCCCCTTGATTCAAGATGAATCAAGTCCTCCAATCATTGTTGATAGACCTCCGATTCCAGCCTCCTTATTGAATAACCCTTAGTTCTTCAAACCTTCGGCCCGACTGATCTCAACTACAACGAATTGAACCCGAGATCTTCCCCTCAATATCACTGAATCCACTACTAGACTGTTGAAGAATACCTCTTCATAATCACCTTCGCTCAGCTTACCCTTGATGAAGAATCTCGTCCAAAAACCCCCAAAAATCAAACCAATCTTGGAGGATAAAACCCTAACGGTTTTATTCAAGAAAGAACCTGTCGCAAGCTTCAACCCGAACCAGATTACCCAATCTAGGCTTCGAACCTTATCACCTTTAATCACTCACAAGGCACTTCAAAAATGGTTGTGTGTAATTGATGTGTTGTGAGATGTTGAAGATGAAGATGATGAATCTTGGACACCTATTTCACTCTTTCTTATTCTTTGAACACATGAATCAATTTTTATCAAATGTTGCTTGACATAAGTAGTTGGACTTGTATATATAGTACCAGACCAACCAAAGACATAACAACTTTTCAAATAATAGTGGGAATCATTAAAAAATAGCATTTCCACGCGAACGGTCGACCACAGCAGGTCTATGCGTCGATGCATAGCCTGCACTTTTGGAAATCTGCAAAATGTATCAGTATGCGTCGACCATACAGTCGACATGCGTTGACCCGTTGAAGAGTAAATTCTTCATGCGCCGACCCTGCGGTCGACTCAAACCTTCATGCGCTGACATGTGAGAAGGCATACTGAGATATGCGCTGACCCGTGTGTCGCGGTGAAAATCGGATACCAAACTATTGATTAGTTTGAATCTTTAATTCATTTTGCAACCGAACTTTGATTTGTCCAAAGGAAGGGATAAAGATCGAATTACCCACAATGCCATGCAAGCTAGAGAGCTTTAGGTTCGGGGGTTGGTTAAACTTAAGGAAGGTACTAGCATCCAAAGTTTCTGTAGTACTCTACAGAAACCTCTTGTTTTATGTTTGTTTATTTGCTATGGATTATCTGCTTAAGGATGAAAGACCTAGGGGTTTAATTCTAAGTATACTCGATAAGATGTCGCATCTTATGCCTACATATCCTTACGGGAGTGGAATTAGAGTATCTGTAATTCCCCTAAAGGGTTTGAAGAGTTCTTTGACTGTGGTAAAAGTTCCTACGGGTTTAGGGTAGTTGATTGATTGAGTTTAGGAGAAAAGGTGAGTTGTCATTTTAAGGGAGATTTAACCGCCACAAGTTGTAGGAAAATAGTCTTTGCATCGTCTTAAGAGAAGGGCTCAAGTACTCGGATATTGATCGATGAGTACGCCTCTATCTCTCTTAAGGAAAAGTCCCTACATATTGATTGTATTGTTGTGGGGTGGAAGTTCTATCTCGCTTAAGATGATTAACATCTATTTCTCTATTGTGTTTGAATATTGTATTGAGTTGAATTGTTTTTGTTTTCCTACGTTGTAAGAGAAAAGGTCCTTCCTATGGGGTAGGATCTAATCTTAGGAGATCGACTTGAATGGGATCAAGGATCATGAGGGGAATGATGCAAATGAGATGCTCTACACACAAGTGTTGAATCATGTGTAGGTTCTTCCTTTGGACGAAATACAATGTGATAAAGTAAATGCAGATAATGTAAAATTGGTAAATAAAGTGGGGGATAAATAAAACCATACATACGCTTGAAAGCGCTAAGGTGGAAGTGAGTGGAAGTGAATGCGTGAGTGAAGGTGGATCATAAGCGTAAGCGTGCGCGATTAATTAAGTTTTATGATGTGAGATTAATTTAGGCGAGGTTGAATTGATTTTTAATGAGAGATATATTATTGGGTGAAATTGATTTTAAATAAAAGGGTTGATTTAGAATAATTTTATAAAGAAGATTATGTTAGATTTATTATTAGTAAAATTAATTTTAAGAGGAATTATTTTAAAGGGATAAATTAGTTTTTTTGATGAAGGTTTTTATTAACAAAAAGCCAAGTTATTTAAAATAGATTCAATTAGTTTATTATAAAAAGGGTTTTCCTATTTACATCTATTATTAAGTAAACAAATAATTTTAGTTTTTTTATTATAAAAAGATGCTAATTTAAGTTGAAGAGGGGGACATTATTATTATTTATTTAAAGTTATTTTAAATATGGAATGGGTTTTTATCATTTAGGATATAAATAAAGTATCTTACTAAATAAAATAAGATAATTGAATTTGATAAATAAATTAATATCATTGGATTTATTAAAAAAAGAGAAAAGTTAATTAAGAAAAAGTTATATTGGTTTTAATTAAAGTTGATTAAAAAAAACGTTAATTAAGTTGATTAGTAAAAAGTGATGATTAGTGGATTAAATTGCAGATAAAATGGTTAATTAGGGTGGGTGTATGGTTCAGTGTGGGTGTGTTCCGTGTGGCTTACGGTGCGGACGCGCTGTGGAACGTGCGATAGGATCTGTTGGAGATCCAATGGCTTGTGTGTGAGGGTGAACGGCGGTTATTATGGACACACACACGCATAATACAACAAATGAAACAAATCAAAAAAACCTTGTTCCCAAATGGTTCTCCCTTCCGCCGATCCTCCTTCTTTCTCTGTTCCCTCCTCACGATTTTCATTCTTTCTCCTCCCTTCGTTCTACTCAATCCTTCGTCTTCTATCTCGCCTCCTCCTCCGTCTTCTGCATAATCAAACACGAAAACAAAATTTAAACGGCTAGCATAAAAATCAAACTAAAATGGATCGGTGCAGGTTATCGAGGGTTCCGTCGCGGATGGCGCGAGGGTTTCGCGGAAGTTCGCCGGTGGTGGTTGAGGATTTCGATGGCGGATGATCTGCGGACGTTGATTTGAGGGTTTGAAATGGTTTCCGACGGTTTGCAGAGGAATCTATGAAGAGATAAGTCCCTCTTCTTTCGATTTAGTTTTTTTTCTCTGTATGTTAGGTTTTGTTTTACTTGGGATTTCTGTGTGCTTCGGATTCGTTCATGAACTTTTTTTTCATCTTTTTTTCCGATTTCTCATTCTTTTATAGGCTGAGGACTATGGGCTTCCATGAAAATCCGTTTGAAAAACCTTCCCTTTTGGGTGAATGTTGTCTGATCTTATTGATGATTTGGGAGACACCAATTAATCCCTTTCTGATTTCGTCCGATTTTGCTGGCTCCAGTTTTGCGAAGTTGAAATTTCCTCATTTCCGTGTTAATTTCTGATATTTGGGGTTTGTGTCATTAACATATTTGTTGACTTTCTTTCCTTCTTCTTCTCGCAGGAACTTACTATGCTTGAGTTCAGAAACTACCCTGTCTTGAGCTTTCCGGGAAGGGTGTACGGTGGTAATGATGACTTAAGAAGTCTGAACCCTAAGAGTGTTGTTGAGGTTGCAAATTCTTGCTCGCAGTTGCTTGCCAATGTATATGTTGTGCTTGTGTTCTGCTGTTATTTGCCATCTGCTTGCAGGTAGTGAACTGTGGATGCTCACGAATGGGGGGAGAAACCTGTTGTGAACTGTGTTGAGATACTTGTTGTTGTTTGTTGAAAAACCTGCTGCCTTGGCGTATAAAAGTGTGCTTGCAACTGGTGCTTGTAACTAATGATCTTGCAGGCGATGTTTCGGATAAATGTCGTTGTTGTGACGGATTCTTGAGCTGTTTGGAAGCAAACTGGCTTTTCTTCTTCTTCCTTCAGGACCCAGTTTTAAGTTTGGGAGCTGCCGGTTCCGTGCCGTTGACCGAGAAAGGTTTGACGGTGATGATGGCTTGATGGTCTGAACCGTGTGGGTGCTGTTGAATGCAGTTGTCTTTTATCCGAAATTCAATACTTTCGATGCTCAGTAGGGAGTTGATGACAACCTCAGTTGTCGCCCTTTCGGCTGCTCGATTCGCCCGATGATGAGCTCAAAGCTAAGGGCTGAATTCAAATCAAAGCTTCTTAATTTTAATCTTAATTTATTCTTTAACGGTATTCTGATTACCGGTTGGTATCTGTTTTGGTTGCAGGTAGCTTTGGAGTGATTAATCGCGCCATCAAGAAGGCAATGACACAGTGGTTTGAACCTTGGTGGTCCCTTCCATTCTGCTCACCAAGTTATGAACTGAATGTCTCTATTTAATGAATATTGTCACAAACTGCATCTTGATCGTTGCCTGCTGCTTGCGTTCAGTCACCGGAAATGCTCAGAGATGTCGACCTTGTCCGTTTTATGCAGGATAACGGCCTCTATCTTTTACTACTTCAAGCTGTGTTTGAAGCACGTTCCTGCGTACTTGCCTTTTCGAAAGGAAACCGGTACATCAACAAATCCCCTTTGCTCGTGTAGATTGTACCTTGTTGGTGATTGATGCCTTGGTTATTCACAAATTCTTATTTCTTTTGACAGTGCGTCGATGATCTGAACGGTGTTGTCTTACTGAACTTGTTTATTCATGGCGACATAGAAAGTGTTCTTGATGTCTTGGTGTTTCTACTTTCCGACAGGTCACGTTAAATGGCGAGTCATGGTTTACCTTTCCATTCAGCATGAGCAACCGCGCCTAAAACACTACTGGTTTACTACCTCCTGCCTTCAAATGCACTCAGGTAAGCTTGCTTTATTGTGTGTATTGTTGCTGATACTGCACTGAAGTTGCTGCAGCACCAGAATTATAAGAGCTATTGGAATCTGGTGCGTAACTTGTATATGGATGAGAGGAATAACTTGAATAACTGCCATTGTTCCACACCGGCGCTTGATTTGTGTATCCATTGTTGTTTTGGTAATCTCCAGTAGTCTGCATTTTGATATGCTCCTATAGGCTGTGAATAAGCATGATTAGGTTGCTGCTGCTGATAGCTGTTATAGTAGCCTGAGTATCCCGTACTGCTTCCATAACCATATGGATTAGAAGAATTTGCATATGATGTGTATGCATTGTAACCTTGCGGTGTATTAGCTGTTCCCAAATTTGATGTATTACCAGCAACTGATGATACACTTTGACCTTCTTGAACATTTTTTTCAGGTGGCTGCGGATGCTGATCGTACTGGTAGGTTGGATTAGAATAAACTCCATTTGCCGTGGAGCTTTGAACAGTCCATGATATAGCTTCAGGTCCAGATGTTGTGGTAGCATATGAAGATGTCTGATGTTGGCTAGCATCAATAAGCCGATTCTCGAAAAGATGTGACTCAACCAGAGCTAAGGTCTCAGTATGGATACCTTCATTCACCATATCTCAAAAACCTAGTAATTAACAGGAGAAGAAAAAGAGATTGAAAACGTGAGGACTTTTGCAGTAAAACGTTTAAAGGGGTCTTCTGGACTACATCAAAGCCAAGAACTTATTCAAGCATATGGTTACTCGTGTTCTCAATTGCATCAATAATTCCAGTGTGCCAACAATGAGACCTCCAGCTCCTTTTTGCAAGACATGTTTTTATATTTGTGATTCTCCATGTTGAAAACATGACAACTTCCGTCATTTATAAATAAAAGTTTGGTTGTCATTTGCGATATAAACATTAATGGTTCCTCCCGTGTCATTTATTCTTTGCTTCCTCATTTATTGTCACTTAACATTAGCCTTCCCATATCTCAACTCTTTACTAATATACCACATTAAGTCACCTCTCATAATAATAAAAAAACTTTACCGTGAGATTTACTGAATAACATCCTTGCTTGAAATAATGCTCGACGTCTTTGAGTGATACCAACTAAATTCGTACTTGAATGAACTGTTCGAAATATAAGCCAAAACTTAAAGGAAAGAGATGCCCAAAGGCTTAATGATATTCAAGCATTCTTGCCTCCCGCAATCTCTCACGTGCATCCCATAAAATAGACGCCTCTTATTCGATATAATCCCAACCTTGACGAACCTTATGGCAATGAGGATAAGTTCTTGTGATGCAACTTGGCATAAACTTTGACCATGCCAAAGTGGAAAGAAATCCCTTAGGGGTAATTTGGCCTTGTTTTGACTATAGGACCATGTAGGAGATAAGAAGTTCACACAAAGCCTTCACGGCTTCCTGAGCTTTCGACAACAAACCTAACTTCTCAAAACACGAACAAACGGGTTAGAATGGTTAGTTATGTATAAATGATTAATCGTGAGCACGAGTATTATCTCCACTCGATATTATTGCGTCTGCACAAATTGGTTAGTCGCATAAATATTGAATATTAAAATAAAGTCGAAAAAAAGCATGAGAACACAAAAGGAGGTGGGATCTTACGGTCAAAAATTAGGGTGCGACAGATGCCCCTATTTAAGTTACTCCTATCCGGAGATATGAAGATTGAAGTCTTCGTCTCGACGAGATAGGAGGGACTTAAATACAAACATTGCACAAATTTTTGGCCTTAAGAAACCACCGAATGCATATGATATGCAATGGTATGAAAATTCAAGACACGGATGGTCCTGTGAGGAAGAGGTGCCACAGGGGAAAAACTAGACACGGCACACGGGAAGAACAAGCTCAACAAAATGAAACTCCACGGGGAAAGATTGACAATTACAAAATGTCTGTAAATATGTTGCGAAGGACTCACGAGAAAATCACTTGAAGATCCTACTGCATAGTTCAAATGTAATTGATTTTTAATATATCAGCTGGAGAAGTTTATTGCCGAGACTTGTAACTGTAATTGAGAATACTTGTTAAAAAAAATTTAGAGAATCTACTGCCGAGATTCTGTGTTGAAATCTGCTGGAGACATACTTCTGAGGAAGTCTTCTTGAAATCTGCTGCCGAGATTAGCCAGGAAATGAAAGAAATACCTACTACCGAGGTCTTTTGGGAATCTACTGCCGAGGTTAACCAGGAAAAGAGATAGAAATACCTGCTGCCGAGGTCTTTTGGGAATCTACTGCCGAGATTAGCCAGGAAACGTAAGATGTATTTGAATAAGTTGAGTATTCTGTTTGAAAATAATGTGAACAAAACCTCCCCACGCCTCATGGTGTGTTTGCCATGAACGGGTCTTAGCTCTGAAAAACGCATCCCCACGCCTCGTGATTTGGAATCCACGAACGAGTCTTAGCTCTGAAAAACGCCTCCCCACGCCTCATGGTCTGGGTACCACGAACGGGTCTTAGCTCTGAAAAATGCCTCCCCACGCCTCATGGTCTGGGTACCATGAACGGGTCTTAGCTCTGAAAAATGCCTCCCCACGCCTCGTGATTTGGAATCCAAGAACGGGTCTTAGTTGTAGATTTTGTGGTAGATGTCACTGTAAATTGTGGAACTTCTTGGCTGTGAGCCATAATGTGTTGTAAATTGTAGAACTTTGTAGATGTAAGTTATAGATGTAAGTGTCAATGTAGATGTAGTTCGTTGTAGATATAATTTGTAATGTAATTTGTAATGGAGATTGTATAGCCTCACCGGGGATCCTCGAAAGAGATGTAAGCCGGTTAAATTGTAATGTATCTCTTCTCAAATACATGGACTAATGAGATAAGCTTCTTCGACTTCCTTGGGGAGATGTCACTTGATAGAAATGAACTTGTGCGATGAACTCACTGGGGAAATCATTCCTGAGGAGCATCTTTACTGTAGTTGTAAAAATATTTTGTGAATTCTCAAATAAAGAGAAATATCTGCAAGGTTTTCCATTTACCAAGTCGATAATCACTGGGGATGGACAAACCATCTTGAGGAGGCTGCCATTTGTCGTTTTGAATAAGATCTTGGTCAAAACGAGTTGCTCAAATAAAGAGGTTGCTTACAATCTGGATGCAAATTGTCGAGGAAATATGATAATATTGTTGGAGAAATATCCATCTTCAATAGTTATCTTTATAAAACTCTTCCTGGGGAGCCAAGTGCAAAATAAATGCATACTTGATCCACATTCAAAAGTTGGAGATGTCCACAATGTGATTGCCAAGGACCGAAGTTCAATTCAGGAAATAACTGAAGAGAAACTGTCAAGCAAGACTCGACCATTGAGGTATTAGCTCAAATGGGAATGTACTAAAACAACCGTCTTCCACGGGGATCGAACTCCATGGGGAAATAGAAATATTGCTCCTTTTCTGCCTAGGGCTGACAACTCTAATTGGAAGGAGAATACGCGCCCAACCACTCGGGGATAAACACGACCAAAGAGACAGAACAAACGAACACAAAGATGCAAAATGCACATGCCACGCTATCTATCTATATGTTATGCGTATGCTCATGATGACAAAACAAACGAACAGAGAAAAGCGGAGATGAAATAAACATCTTGAAGCCAACATCCGACCAATCTTCAAAGATAGAAGTACCACTAGGGATAGGTGGAGAACCAGGTATGGGATCACACTCTTGCTTCAAGGTCTTAAAACTCATACGGGGAATAGAGAACATTCCTCTTGGGGTATAACATCTTGATCTTCCTGATTATTCTGTTGAAGATGAGAATAAGGATCTACCAGGGATGGATCAATCTCATAATTGAAGAAATACACGGATAAATATCTGTTTCCCTAGAGAGATTCTAGCTGGAGTAGATGGAGATATTCAAACCGAGGTTTCATAGGGGATAAAATAAATATCCACTTCAAATGAACAAAGTTGTTGAACGCGTTGTAGTCGAAACTCCAATGGGGATGAAATAAACATCTGCTTCGCTGGGAAAGATTGGCGTTGTAGCAGATCCACTGGGGAGTACAACATGTCCCCTTCACTGGGCATGTGAAGTTGGAGAAGCAAATCACTGAGGATTAAAATAGTATCCACTTCATTGGGGAAGTGAAGTTTGGGCAAATTATTGGGTGTTCTGTATCTGAAAGCTTCATCGGAGAATTGTCATGACCACCAGAATTAAAACTCACTAAGGACATGAAGAATGTTGTAGCAACAAAGTCATTTTTCTTGATGAACTGTGTAATGGTCGCCATTTTGAACAATAGTTTGTTGCACAGGGATAAGATAATCTTTGCTTCTCAAATGCCCCAAGTCATATAGTTATGAGAAGAAGTCATTCCAAGAGGATTTTACAAAAAATTGGTGTCCTAACTGCCCCACTGTTTTCAAACTCTTATATAGATTCGCCGAATCTCGACGTAACAGGCCCTCATTGTCGGTAGTATGTAAAGTCTTCAAAAACAACTCTTTAGGCTAAGTCAAATTTGCACAGAACAAACCACTTAGAAACAAACTTGCCCCCAGGTTAGTAGAACCTTCAAATTCCAATAGAACAAACTTAATGCTGATGCTCGTATGTAAACTTTCTATGACATCGGCAAAAATCAACACGTATGAAATGTTAATTCTGAAACTATTAATGCGATATATGTTTGTCTTGAAGTTTTTGAAAAGAGATATCACGATAACTTGTGACCGAAATCACTAGTCAGGATATGAATTTATTTTATAAAGCCAGTCATCAAATTGAGCATAGCTCATAGGAGTCAGAAAACGTTATCTCATTGAGTATGCTTTCGAAGTAACCTTACTTCAATTAGGACTTTGAAAGGTTGTATCGATTTATTTTACGATTTGTAAAACAAAGGAATAAGGGTCAAAGCTTATTTGTACCCACCCGTTTTGAGAGTTGTTCACTTTTTTTGAAAAGTTCTAAATGTTCAATCAAACTGATTGAAAATTGCCCCAGGTTAAAAATGAGGTTGAAAAGGGTTAAAGAGGATTTAACTCCCTCGTATCTCTGGTGTTTATGAGGTTTGAAATAATGCCTTACATCATCATCAGGGTTCTATTTGAAAGCATACATCAGGAGATCTTGCGTTTTACTTCGTCATCCTCCTTCCAATTCTTCACCAAAGTGAGGAAAGATTGGGTAAAAGATGGCATTATAAAATTATGAAGAAAATTTTACGAGTGAAACAAATGGATTTCTTCAAGACAAACACTTATTGCACTACTTATTCAAAATAACAAGTTCTTACTATTGCACCCTAATTTTTGACCATGAGATCCCACCTCTTTTGTGTTCTCATGTTGTTTTTTGTTTTTTAATATTTATTACGACTAACAAGGGTGTGCAGGTGCATTAAATTCAAATAGAGATGGCACTCACAATCCTATCCTTCCCAACATGGTCGTTTGATTCTTATCCAGGTTATGTTTATGGTGATTGCATCATTTAAGTAGCTGGTGACGAGTTCAAGAAGATATTCACATAGTTCATCAGATATTGAGCCCAAGTTTCTATCAAGATTCACGACAAAATTCGCAAGCCGTTTGAATTCAAATTATTGTATTTGGACCCGAA